AAATTTAAATGAATTGAAAGTGAGATTAAGGAAAATTGTAACGCTTTTTGAGGATTATGATAGTATACAAACTAGTATCGAAATTTTAGAAGCAAAGTCGAAATCGGAAGAAAGATCTGAAATTACGAGCGCGAAACAACCGAAAAAATATTTTATTATGTTATAAGTGTAGCTCAAGACCTGATTGCTGTTAATGAGGCAAGTCTATCGGAGAATAGGGGGCTCGATGGTGGTCGGGGTGTACATGCATCCAGTTCATCCCAGAGTGGAGTTGATGCCGGCGTCAGACTGCCCATTATCAAGCTCCCAACCTTCGATGGAACCTCTAACAAGTGGTTAGAATTTCGCGACACATACTTGTCTATTGTACATAACAATGACGGTCTCACGGACATTTGTAAATATCAATATTTGAAAGCGTTGTTATCGGGTAGTACGGCATTTGTGATTGAATCATTAGAAATTACCTCCGCTAATTATGTGTTGTTTACTATGTTGTTAGTTGTTTGGGTGTGAAATTGGGTGACATTAAAGTAAATTGTCTGCTGTATGCTGATGATGCAGTGCTTATTGCACCATCAGAGGCAGAACTGCAGGCATCAGTCACGTGTATGAAAGAGGAATGTGAAATTAAAGGTCTCCGTTTGAATGCTAATAAAACTAAGTTTCTGGTATTTGAAAGGGACGAAGAGAGAACGAAGTGTGAAATATGGGTAAATCAGGAATGTCTAGAACAGGTAAATGAAATTGTATACTTGGGGAGTGCTTTTAGCCGGGATGGAAGATGTGATTTAGATGTGGACAGGCGTGTCGCTGCCGGGAACAAAGTCAATGGTGCCCTGACTGCGTTAGTCAAAAGGCAAGGCGTAGCGAAGAGTGCACGCCTTGCAATACATAACGCAGTGTTGGTACCGACTTTGTTATATGGCAGCGAAACCTGGGTATGCCAGAAGAAGCATAAAAGTAAGTTGAATGCAGTGGAGATGCGATCTCTTCGTAAAATGTGCGGCGTTACCATGGCCGACCGAAAGCGAAACGAAGAGATTCGCAATATGGCAGGTTTGAAAGATGACCTTATCACAAAAATTGATAAGGGCGTGCTTCGGTGGTTTGGGCACGTTGAGCGAATGAGTGAAGACCGAATGGTGAAGAAAATATATAGCGCGAAAGTTAATATTAAAAGGTGTCGAGGTAGACCGAGACTAACTTTCGAAGACCATGTGAGCAAATTGCTCGAAGAGGGTAGGGTCAAGAGTACTCGGATACCTAGACGTGCATGCATGAAGAAGATAATGAATCTGAAAGAAGCAAAAGAGGTTTGTAAGGATCGTGACACTTGCCGATCTGTTCTCTCTGGCTACCCCGTCAGGGATTGTGCGTGAAGATAAGTAATTATGAGGTAGCCTGGAAGCTAGTTTGCGAGCGTTTCGATAATAAAAAGCAGTTGATTCATACTCACCTTAAGGCATTATTTAATGTACCTTCCTTTGGAAGGGAGTCTGAAAAATCATTGCGTTTCTTAATAGATCACATATCGAAAAATTTACGAGCGTTAAATAGTTTAGGAGAACCAACTAACAATTGGGATACAATTATAATATTTATGTTCGCTAACAAACTAGACGTAAAAACGAGTACTAAATGGGAGGAGTATAGGAATAGCCTAACAGATAACCCCACACTAGAATTATTTTTTACCTTTTTACGTAATAGAGCTGACGTCTTAGAAATGGTGAACGCGAGCACCAGCGACAAATTCGATAAAGAAATCATATAAACGTATAGATAAAGCACAAAAGGCATTTGTCGCTATTGCTTGCGATCCCAACACAAATGGCACCTCGAACACAAGACTTTGTCGTATTTGTAAAGGAGATCACGCGATTTATAATTGTGAAAAATTAAATATGATGTCGGTGAATGAGAGAAAACTCGCTATAAAGAAAATCAAGATGTGTGAAAATTGCTTTCGTGGTGGTCACTTTGCCCATCAATGTAAAGCGAGTCCATGTAGGATTTGTAGGCGTAAACACCCTTCTACATCAATTCACTTCTTCTATACCTAAAGAAGTAGAGGGTAGTGAGGTGGTGTCTACACCAATAGCGCTATCGTCGTGTACTCAAAATCAAGTTCTTCTATCGACTGCAATTTTAAAGGTTAAAAATTGCAAAACACATGCAATGTACGAAGTGCGGGGCTTGCTTGACTCTGGAAGTCAATCTTCCTTTATCACAGAGGCACTGAGGGATAAATTAGGTATTCAAGATGAAGTTGTTGATACAGTGCGTGTGACAGGTGTTAATAATATTGCTTTCAATGCATTACGTCGATGTAGCATAGCCATTCAATCGCGTTCAAAAAATATTAACGGTGTACAATTTTGTAACAAGGTTGTGGCCTACATTATCCTTCAGATAACAGGAGCATTGCCTACAGAGGAAATCGATACGTCTGGCATAGTTCTTCCTAAAAACATTATTTTAGCGGATCCTAATATTAATCGATCTTCCCAAATCGATGGTCGATGATGGTGCGGATGTTTTTTGGGATGTGATAGATAGTGAAAAAATCAGCCTCGGTAAACACAAACCTATATTACAAAATTCGATATTCGGGTGGTTAGTGGTAGGCCCTATCATGCTATGTAATTCAAATACTTCAAAGAGTATCCATTGCGGATTCAGCATTGTTAGTGCCGGCACATGCAATTTCTGCTACTGCAGATTTGTACATTATTGCGATTTACATCCCTCCTAATATATCACATATTCCAATTGAAATAGATTACTTACTGCAAACACTAAAATCTGTGGTAGTCTCAAATAGTACTGGTAATAATATTTTAGTTATCGGTGATTTTAACCTTCCATGCATCTCGTGGAGTACTCAGAGCCCAACACATTTAAATAAAGGCAATGCAGAAATTAAAAGTGCTGGTGTAAGGGTTACAGATGAACTGAGCTTTCTAGGTCTCAAGCAATATAACAGTTTTAAAAATTATGCCGGTAATACTTTAGATTTGGCATTTTTAAATCTTCCACTTGAAGTCGCAATTTGCAACTTGCCCCTAATAAAGGTTGACCGCGCCCATCACGCGTTAGTACTGGAAATTATAGACGTCTCAATCACACCGTTTACTGACGCATCTAAGCCTAAATATGATTATAATAAAGCCAATTATGAGAAACTAAATGAAACTCTAAATAGCATCGATTGGCGAACACAATTACGATGTAGCACGGTCCAAGAGGCTTGTAATAACTTTTATAATCTAATAAATGATGTTATATGCCAACACGCACCACTTAAGTCCTATCATAATAAATATAAATACCCTATCTAGTACAAACGCGCTTTAACCACCTAACCCCTCGCGGGTTATGCATAGGACATCAACTAAAAAAAATCTCTTGGACGTACACATTATCTTTTTAATTATTTTTCTGCACGGTCACACTGTTTTTGAACGCAACTCTGAAAAAAAATATTTTGACAGTTCTCAATTGACACTTTCGCTGCAAAATGGAGGAACAACGCAGGTGCCGAAATTTGCGGGACGAACAAAGTAAGCAATCAATGAATATTATAAAAATCTCTCATTACTTTTCAATTACTATGTTTATTTTCTAAAGACTAGGGACTAATTAATTGTAAATGAGACTTATTTTGATCTAACCTCTTTTTTTAATTAACTACATAACCGTACTTTTTGATGTCCTATCCATATGACATCAGTCGTTTACTGAGTTTATTTATTTAATTTGATGTCCTACACATATGACATTCGTTGTAATTTATGTTTTCTTTTTCTTTTCAGTATTAGATTTAGTGAACGATTCAGAGTTCGATTTCTCGTCGGATGACTCCGAAGATGACCCCACATATAAAAGAAACCAGAATCGTAATTATTCAAGTTCACCTTCTGACGAATTTAGCGAAAATCAAGATTTCTCAGAGCCAGAACGCACTGAGTCTCCAAATATACCAATTCCTTCTCCTTCATCCTCAATTTTGGGGCGTGGGAGAGCTTCTAGATCACGTATCAGAGGTTCTTTGCGAGGACGAGGTGGACGAAGTAGAAGTAGACAAGGTAGAGGCAGAAGACCAGCTATAGGCTCCCGAAACTTAACGGATGCTTGGGAAAGAGACTCGTTTGAACCAACGATCCACCCAATGCACAGCCCTAACTATGTGGAATGAGACATTTCTAGCATGGAATGGTATGATTTTTTTGATGATTACATCGATAATGAAATTTTAGAGACTATGGTTATGGCTACCGACCAGACAAATGTGCTAAAAAAAGAAAAGTCTATGGATTTGACTATAGAGGAGCTGAAGGTATTCTTCGGAATTTCATTAGTCATGGCAGCTATTAATTATCCCAAGATAGATCTTTATTGGAATCGCAAGTGGAAAATTAATTTGATTGCGGATGCAATGACTCGGGATAGATTTTATACCATCAGAACAAGACTAAAAGTTGTATGCGATATTGACGTCACTGATGAAGAGAAAAAAAACAGGCTATGGAAAGTCTATCCCCTCATTCGAAGAATTTTACAAGGTTGTCTTCGTCAGAAGAGATCGGAGCACATCCCAATAGATGAGATGATAATCCCTTTTACTGGGACATGTGGATTAAAACAATATTGTCCAAATAAACCAAACCCCGTAGGGTTAAAGGTTTTTGTTGCTGCAAATCCGGATGGGCTCGTATTGGACATGGCACACTGTCCACGGAGGCGTAGCTTCTTAGACGCGTATTCGTCATTATACGCTTGGTGTACGCTTGCTTGCAGCTTACATACAAAACAATGTAACTCTGTCGACGGAGCGGCAACGTCGCGCTCGCGTCGCTGCCCGTAAGCTTCATGACGCCTGCCGTACTTGCTGTCATACGCCGGGGCGTACATGGAGTGAACGCACGTGTTTTTTATTGTAAAAAACGGCGGGAACGGCTGTCAAATTTGTTCAGATAATAGAAAAATATCCGTGTTTGTATAACAATAATCTTGCTGAATATGCTAGAAAAGATTTAACTGAAAAGGCTTGGAGTGAGGTGGCGAAAGAAATACAATGGACGGGTGAGCATTTGTTTTTATTTATTTTATCGTAAAATACATAACATTTATTCAAAAATGCAATTATTCCACTGCCATGGCAGAGCAACATTAGGCTGCAAAAAGTAATTTGCTAAATAATTACGTAAACCGTTAGGCGTGTTTACAAATGTCATGTTTGGTATCAAAATTGGTGCATGTCGAATATTGGACAAATTAAAACTGTTTGTAGTCGTTGTGTATTGCACATCATCATATCTTCGTATGTAATTATGCAAAATACATACGCACTGTATTATTGAAATTATTGTTGAGTATTTACGACATGATATAGCTTTCAGTAGTACTTGAAACTTTTGTGTCAACATACCAAAATTTCATTCAATACTTTTTCGTCCGCGACTTAACCTATAATTGTAAATTCATTTCACATTATCCAGATTTCTTACTGAATAGGGTCTCAATAAATTTCTCCTTAAAGGGAATGCATTATCTCCCACAAAGTAATAAGGAAAACGATTGCCTGTGGCATCATTTGGCAATGCTGTTGATTCAGTTGGAATGTTCAAACCTTCCCTTTCCAACCAATGCCCAAGCGCTGATACTTGAAACACGCCACCATCACTATTCCGTCCGGCAAATCCATATTCTATGCTGGTAAAATATCCATCTGCATCACAGCATCCAAGCAAAACAATAGAGTGATAGCCTTTATAATTGTAGTTGGCTGAACCTGTGTTTGGAAATTTCTGTATCCTGAGGGCCTGGACAAGTGGCATTCGCTCCGTGTCTAATCCATTTCGAAAATCGATTTCGTCTTAGCGATATCGAACGACAAGTGGGAGACAAAGTGACATCGGCAAACCTAACGCTAAGTCGAAACGTTCTTTCGATAAAAAACAACTTCTTGACTATGGTCTCGAAATGAAACATCAAATTCAAGGCGCACTAAATATAAACAAACAAACCACTTCTTATTAGGCTGTGAAACAAAGTGTACTTGTTAACGTTATATTAAAGTTTGCTCGGTGAAAGTGAAGTTATTGGAGTTTTGAATTAACTAGTTAAGTAAAGAATTATATAATTATAAGAAAGGTAAGTTTCTTAACTTCGTAAAATTATTGTGAGTGCCAAAATTACACAAGTTTACTGGATATCAATGATTGTGAGTATATTACATATTTATAACGATAAACAAGCGGGAACTGACAAGCTTTTTTCCGTTTTTAAGGATAACTACAATGGATCCACGAGTGCGAGCCAGTGATCAACAATTTTCGACCCTTTTGGAGTTCATGGAAAGGTTAAGAAGTATTCATCTAAACCATGAACTTAATTAAATTCAAATGACTGAGTATGCTCAATGTAAACAATGACGTGATGTTAACAATCCGTTGCTTATTGCCCTATTGTTTGTTCAATTGCAGTCACGGCGATCTATCCAATCCCCGATGTGGGCCTCAAGGGCGCTTGAAATCCGAGCGGCTGTGGTGTGAGTTGGCAGTAACATTAAACTCCATCGGTGGTGGAGTAAATAAATCGGCAGACAAATGGAAAAAGGTAACAAATTCAACAGCTATATATGGCACTTTATGCTTTACTTTATTTATATTAACCATTTACTATTAATATACACTATTATTACTTATTACCTAACTTTCCTACATATTGCTTAATTAATTTCGAAGGTATGGGCCGACTGGAAGTCGAAAACAAAAAAAAAAGCATCACTAATAAGGCGTCATGCAAGTGGTACTGGTGGTGGGCCGAGTATTCGCCAAACTCTCACAGCTTTTGAGGAGAGGGTGTTGGCCATCATGGGGAATTTGACTGTGGATGGTCTGCCAAGCATTCAGGAACAAGGCTTTGTAAATATCGCACTTTTTCATTTAAAATTCCGGGTTAACTGATCACTTGAATATTTAAAACATGTATTTAATTAATAAAATAACATATAATTAATTAAAATAGCCAAATGGAAAATTAATCAAATGCCCAGTTTAATGAAATGAGTAATGTCACAAGAGGTTTTATATGATATGTTATGGTTAGGTATTAGTTAAATTAAGATTTCAAGTCATTTTTTGCAGGGACTATCACAAGTCATCTCCTCGCCAACTCTGGCCCTGAGTCCACCACCAGCCACGCACCAACAAGACACAATTGATTGTGAAATCACAACAGCCAATCGTATGTATAGCTACATACTACTAAATATTTTAATATTTTATAAATACTTTATTAAGTAGGTATTTGAATTCAACTTCATTTTGTTTACAGAGTCTGTGGCAATATCACCACCTGCGCCCACTACTCCTACACCATCTTGCAGCTGGCAGCCACCGCACACCCTCACACAGGAGACCTCAACATCGCAATCAATGAGGAGTTCAAGAGTGCAACCTGCACCTTCTACCCCTCCGCCGACCTGCAGGCGACGATTCCCACCAACCCCGAGGTCTGGGATAACTGCTTCCCCCACACAAACGTCTCTAAGGGCTCGCCGGAGGCGTACACTCACACCATTTGACAGAGCAACGAGTGAGTTCGTTGCCATCGAACAGTTACGTCTTCGGCAGGAGGAGAGAAGAGACAGGCAGCTGTATGAGCTGGAAACCCGAAGGATAGAGGTTGACCACGAGCGTAATCAAGTGTTACGCATGTTTGCAGACATTGCGCAAGCGTGGTTTGACCATTATCGGAGTAGGAACAATACGGAGCAATAAGAGATACACCAAGCTAATATGGAGGAATTTCTAATGGAAAAACTCAATAACACTGCCCAACCCGGGGATCAAATCCGAGACCTCACGGTTAGATATCCGCTACTATTGAAATTCGTCCATAAAAACTAGTTTAAGATAATGTTAGAAATACTTTAATTTCAACAGCTTTAAAGAATTTTAAATTTAGTACTAATAAGATTTATTTTTAGTACTGACACTATTCTTAGTTTATTTAAAGTTTAATATTGTTATTTGATAAGTAGATAGTTCAGTGTACGTACCTAGATAGTTCTTATTCAAGTATTTCTAATAAAATAAAAGAGGTGGTTATGTATATTTTCTATTTCCTGTGTTGGTTTCATTTTCTTTTATTTAATCTGGTGTTAGTTTATTTTGTAATGGTTGTTTTTATGCATATTTTTATTGTTTTATTTTGTCTTTAATGTTTTTAGTCATTTTGTTTTGTATTTGAAATTTATTATCACATTTAATTACCTTGTACGTAGTTTAGTTTTTAAGTATAAGTCAGGTAAATGGGGAGCATGAAACTTTGGACTCCCGCACAACACCTCAGGGAGGAGGGAGCGGCTGAAAAACAGCTCTGTACCAGATCTGTATCTCGTTACAGACAAAGCTGAGCTGTCTCCTTTTGTCTTCAATAATTATAATATTCTTTTGTTTTAACCTTATGTAACTGTGTTTTTAGAGGCAATAAACAATTATTATTATTGTAACATTTGTTTTGACCATTTTTTATTTTAATAACATCCAGAATGGGGTGCGAGTGTAGATACTAAGATGATGGCTGAAAGAGTATGAAAGGAAAGTACCACATACGCCGCTGACCTCAATTAAGTTAGGACTAGCACAGGTGAATGGTGAAACACAATAAAAAAAATCAAAATGTCATCTCTATAATTATGTAGACTATTTTATTAATCAATGTTTTATAAACAATCTTACCAAAAACATAACAAAACGTTGTGAGATCTAACATACAAACATTGCAAGGTAGTAAAAAACTTGTAAAATGAATAGTCACACCACATTACTCTACTTTTCCAACCAAGCAACAAATGAAACATTTAGTCAAATTTTATACATTACTATTTGTCTATACAACTAACAATACTTAATATTTAACAACTCTGTACAAATATTGGCACAGTTGAACAATTATATATATGCTATAATGCTAAATAATTAATAAATATAGATACTTAACTACATCTACAATCTACTTATTAAATAATTGAGCATTGCCCTGCCTCGGATTAATTCATTTCGATTCTCCGTGGTGGTGCTTTGGGTGGTTTGTGTACTGGAGTCATCATTATCATCTACAGTAGTAACAGGGATATCACTTGGAGCTGGCAAGTGTGCATGAAGCGAGATGTTGTGTAGCACACAACATGCAAGTGTTATTTTGCTGGCAACGTTGGGATGATAATGAAGGACCCTGTCACGAAGCAAACACCCCCAACGTGTTTTAAGTAATTCAATACATGTCCTGGCTTGTACATGACGAGTGGTGTACAATTCCTCTCGAGACCCATGTGGAGCATTTAATATTGGAGTCATAAGCCAAGGGCGTTGTGGATAACCAGAATCCCCTGAAAGCAAGAAGTTATGAATGAGATAAGATTTAAAGCATACTTACCTATGTTATACTACTTGTATATATTTAATGGTATAGATATATATATATATATGTCTCTTATAAATATCTTACTCTTATCTCTTATAATATTTTACTTACGAAGTAACCAAACATGTTCACCACTTTCATGAAGGTGACGCATATAGGGTTCTACGAGACTCGATGACCATATGTGAGAATCATGTGTTGCTCCACCAAACTTAGCATTTATGTTCATTATTTTTAAATTATGATCACATACCTGAAAATGTAATTTTATGTAGTTTCAAATAAAATTGGTAGTTATGAAAGCAGAAATAATATTTCTAGATTTAAATACAAACCATTTGAACGTTTAAGGAATGATATCCTTTTCTGTTATAGAAAGCATGCTCTTCTTCAGCTGGTTTTACTATAGCAATATGGGTGCAGTCGATGCATCCTATTACTCCAGGCAAATTATACTTCCTTTGAAATCTGAAAATGAAGATTTTTGTAATATAATATGGCAGAGAAGTAACAACCTATTCATGTTACTTAAATTTAATAATTACTGTAGTTAAGATATACTTAATATACTTTATTTTTTTAGCTAACCATTACCTAGAAACATAAGCATGATTACTTACTCTTCTTTGATTAATGATCTTTCTTGTACTGTTTGTGGAAATTGAATCCACTTGCTCATGAGTGTGGGGTGGTTTAGCGCATCAACGACTTGCCGGACACACCGGCTCGTTGTTCTTTGTGTTAAATTTTGACTAACACCCACGATCCTTTGATAGGAACCAGTAGCTAAAAAATTAAGAGCAGTGAGCACCTAAAAACATAAAGTAATGAGGTAAAGAAAATGTTGAAATCAAACATAGTTGCATCAAAACTATTGTTTATTTATTTAAATATTTGTAAACGTTTAGTAAGGTTACCTTAATTTTCAAAGGGATTTCTTTAGATCCTCTTAGCGACGTATGAACACGCAAATCGTTGCAAAGCCGCCGGAAGGTGCTTTTATTCAAACGAAAATGTTCAACAAACAGTAACTCAGGCATATCTTCCACACTTTCCATTGTTTGCCGGTAATTGTATCTTTTTTGACGCCTCAACCACACACTTTCATTATGTGCAGCCCTTAGTAAACGCAACGTATGCATTTTTATCAAAAAACCACGAAATATAAGAAACAAGCAATAATTGATGCAAACAACACCAACAGCTGACTAACAATCAGCCATGTTATTTTGCTTTTCTAAAGGGTTCAAGTGTTCGCCAAGTTGTCGAATGAACGTTTCGACATCTAGCGATTTAGAATGTCAAAAGTGCCACTTGTCTACGCATTCCTAAGATAATTATCGTTCGTGTTGTTCGTTTTCTTTATCGCTTCGTTAGGCAGTTTGACATTGTCTAGCAATTAGCGATCGAAAACGGTCGATCACGTGATCTTTCGAAAGCATATGTCAATTCCATACATTTTGGAGTTCTCTAACTTCGTTATCGTTACTGAAAATGTGACTTTGTCTAGGCCCCCTGATATGCTTACCGTCGATCGAACCCAAGCAATTGGGTAGATTCCAAAGTTCATAATACCTTTTCGCAATTTCTTTCCATTCATCAGTAGTTGGTACAGGCATGTATGTATCCTTCAATGCATTTCATATTATTTTAGTTGTTTCTGATATCACACGCGACACGGTACATTCTCCTCGGGCAAAGTAAAGTCCCAATGCTCGAAACGAACAGCCTGTAGCTAAATACCTGGGAAAATATGTTATTAGTTCATTTATATTAAATAATAAAAATCTTTTTGTTGCAGTTAACGATTGTAAGGAAAAATGGAAAAATATTAGAAATGGTTTTGTTAGAAGTTTAAAACCGAAGGCTAGTGGATTGGCAACTACAAAAAAAAACTATTTACATGATGAGATGCAGTTTATATTACCATACGTCAAACCAGTAATTCACATGAATGAAAGAGGAAATTTACCAAATCCTGAACAATCAACTCTAAATCAGGAGACCCCTGCGTGCCCCGAAGAACAGGCATATGTTGGTCCTAACAGGAATATTACAGAAGACACTGAATCGGAAAATTATTCCCATGTTGAGAGGTCGTCATTACAAAAACCAAAGAAAAAAAAGGATTAAACCTGTTAACAACGAAGCTGATAAAGCTTTTGTAGACTGGTTAAAAACAAAAGAAAATAAAACAGATGATCCACAAAAAATGTTTCTGCTGAGCTTGCTACCCGACATACAAAGTCTTACAGATGAACAAATGAGTGTATTTAGAATTAAAATGTTGATGCTTTTGGAAGAAATTAAAAAACCAACGTGTTCAGTTATCCAGCCACAGATAAACCAATTCAGAGTCTATTCGCCGATTTCTTCCGGTAACTCCCACAGTTCACAAACACTAGCATTCCACCTTCTCCAATAAATTATTCTAACGACACACAAGTTTTCTCTGACTATTCACAAACACAAATGACCACATTAAACCCTATTAATTATTCGCAAAATATTAATGATTTGGAAGATTTTACAATACAATAAAAGTTCACGGATGCGACATACATGTTATTTTTTTTAAACTGATATTTTGGATGGAAAATATAAACCATTTTGATTAAAATATTGTTTTACTTACCGCAACGTGATTAATATCCTTTCATCTGGGCTAACACATTCTCGCATATTGGTATTGTTTTTGTAATAATGGTCCTACGATCTGAAGTAAATTTTGATAAGTTGTTTTACTCATTCTATAGAATGAGTGAAATACACTGTCATCTTCTAATAATTCTCTTGCCGCTATGAACAATCTACAGTTGATATTTCTATCTATATATGGATGGGTCCAATATAATCGTCGTTTTCGTCGACTTCGAATGTAGTGATAAGCCAAAATAACGTCTTCGTCGTCCGACTGCATTCTCACAAATGATTGACAATGTACGCTTGCAATACGCCTCATGGATAGAGATCAGTACGCTGGGCTGCTTAAGCTGCACGGCGTATTTTGAAGCGTCTATGAAGCTACGCCTCCGTGGACAGTGCGCCTTAGTCTATCAAGGTGAAAAAACATTTGAAGATTATGTCTATCAAGGATTTTCGCTTTGTGAAGCAGCTATTCTTAGATTGAGTGAATCGTTGGTTCCCGGTCATTACCTGTACTTTGACAGATATTTTTCCACAACAAAGCTTTTGAATGAACTACACTTGAGAGGATTCAATAGCACTGGGTCAATAATGAAAAATAGGGTACCTAAAGGATGTACTCTGTCCGACGACAAAGATTTTATTAAAAAACCCAGGGGCACCACTGAGGTTAAATGTAGAGCTGATGGAAAATTAGCCATCACGAAATGGCTTGATAACAAGCCAGTTCTTATGATATCGTCTTGTTTTTTGGATACTGCGTGTGTCACCTGTTCTAGGTGGAATAAACGAATCAAACAATATCAGAATATCAGAAGACCTGAAGTCATTAAAAATTATAATTCTAACATGGGCGGTGTTGATCTCACCGACAGGTTACTTGCTGTTTGTCCAGCGAGAAGTCGAACAAAAAAATGGACCATACGGTTAATATTTCACATGTTAGATTTAGCCATCTCTAATTCCTGGCTGTTGTACCGCGACCGTCAACGTACAAAAGGCATTCTGAGCCAAAAGATTGAGCAGTTTAAAGAATATAAACTCAACTTAGGAGAAAAATTAATTACAAAAAACTGTCCCCCATTACTAACAGAAGAAGTAGATAGCAGTTTAGAAAACTATTTAGCACCAGCACATAAGAAACGCCGAGTTGATATAAAACCTCTGCCTGCTAAAAAGAACAGGGAAGCATTGCATTTGCCAGAGTACACAGATTCTCAAATGCGCTGCCGAAAAGAGGGTTGCAAAATGAAAAGCACAGTTAAATGTATTTGTAGTGACATATATTTGTGCCTCGTTAAGGGCCGAAACTGCTTTGCAGAATTTTATAATTAGTTGTCTTGTGTTATATAGCTTATAGAAACTTAGACTTGTTGTTTGATCTAAGAATCCATATTTTTGTCATATTTTGTATGTCATATTGTTGATTGATCTCATTGAAGTTGCTTCAAACTTAGTTTTTATTGTTATGAGAGAATTTAAATACATATTGTACCATTAGACTGATGACGTAAGAACTTCTTATAAATTAAAATACGTTTTAAAATTTTGTGATTTGCTTTAATTCACCCCTAAAGTACTATACATAAGATAATGAATTGACACCGAATGTCCTATATAATAATATATAAACTCGTCGTAATCTAATTACGACGAGGTTTCATTACTACGTAAACGACAAAATCGGGTTCAGGATGCTTGCTTTGCTATCTATACTCAACGTACCGAGGAAGCCATTAAATACAAACCGAGGATATTTTGGTCATACGTTAAGTCTTTGCGTGGTAGATCGAATTATCCAAAACAATTATCATACCTCGGCAATAAAGTAACGGGTGGTAAAGATATATGTGATACTTTTTTCAAAAACGTTTTCGGAGACCCTTCTGATAAAATATTAGAAGAAGGCAATGCAGCTTCTACATATGATAATATATCTAAACTGTTTATCTCTACATCCACTATTGAGAAAAGACTTAGACTCCTTGATATTTCTAAAGGAGCAGGATGGCATTCCCCCTTTATTTTGGCGTAACTGTACTAAAACTTTGTGTATCCCTATCGCTATCATTTTTAATATGTCTCTTAGCGTAGGTGTATTTCCGGATATCTGGAAAAGAGCACACATTGTTCCTGTACATAAAAAGGGAACTAAAACTAAAATTGAATATTATAGGTATAATATATATTAAATGTATATTGAATAATATACATTTCCATTTTAAAAACTATTGGCAAAGTTTTTGAAAAAACCGTTTGTGATGTTATATATCCCGTAATATGTAAGGGACTGACAAACACTTGTAGCCTACTTATTGTATATTATACGTACATATACACGTTATACACTTATAATTTATTTTATATATATTTACTAAATTATACTATACCGATATAAACTTACATCTTTACTTCTATCTAACTATTACAATCATAAAATAACATAAATAACATAGTCACAAAATTATCACAAGACAAAACAAATATTTAATAAAAGATTATTTACATTCGCCTTGTTGTGCAATGGAAACGCGCTAAACAACGATACCGTTAGAACGAAGTTCCTTGCGCGGGCGCATTCAACGCCCTACAGTACAGGATGACATTTTTTCTATTTTGTTACGGTTTCGCCAACATACCTTTATATTCACGGGAGACATAGAAAAAATGTAAAAAATGTGGTCTGTAAGAAGGGGCCTTTGTGGCAAGCTTTCAAGCTCCCAAAATCTCTTCAAATCATTGTAAAGCTCAACTAAAGTATTGTTGTTTTCAATACATTACAAAATTACATTTCACTGGGGAATTTAAATTGAGATTGTCATTTTGAATATAGCGCATGGGACCTGCGATAAGCCATCCTAATTTAGACTCATGTAGAATAGGATTTCCTTTGCCTAAAGAGTCCTGTCACGGTCGCCACTATGTTCATTAGGGAACATGAATAAAATAGGCAACTCACACGATAAGCAAAATTGTATATTTAAATGATAAAAATACAAAACTATTTGGTGGCGATCGTGTGGCGAGCTATCGGCGAGTGCCGGTCTTAGGCGCAGTGGTGAGAAACCCCCCCGCACTTCACATACTCCCCGCGAACAACGTCGGTGCTGTCGTAACGGCGCCGACAAATATCACTGCCTAGTCTGTAGAGAAAATCATCGCTTATTTGAGTGTGTTACATCTAAAGCTAAGTCACCTGAAGAAAGGCAACTTACTGTTACATCATTATGTGTATGCGTCAACTCTTTGAGTGCCGGGCACGATGTAGAGAAATGTACTCTTCCAGGGCACTGACGTTCTTGTAAAAGACGACATAATACATTGCTACATATAAGAACCGAATCTAGTTTGTCAACTGAACAGTCACCTAGTATAACGATATATCTGCCTTGTCTGGTTCGTCTCAAGTTCTGCTGTGTACCGATAGTGTGCTTGTGTCAAATCCAATAACTAATGAAACTATGAAGGCTCGCGCTTTACTCGATAGCGGGAGACAGTGCTTCTTTATCACTGAGTCACTTAAACATCGACTCAACCTATCAACACATCCATCTAATGTTGATATATACGCTATCGGTAATACTCAACTCATCCTAATTACAAAATGTTGTATGATACGCCTACAATCTAGTGATTGCCTATTTAGTGTCTTGCTACATGACTATTACAATAACTGTTTTTCAATAACAGGGATTACCTATCTGTATATGTATAAAAAATATACCAGATACAATAAAAAAATTAACATGTCTAAATAAGTTTCGTTGCGGTTTCGGTTGAAAATCCTGTTTCGGTCGGACACTAATTACATGATAAAAAAATCATTAACTTGTTCGTACCTGTTAAAGGTCTAATATCTACACAATATGTTACTAGTGCTGCCATCTGTCGTGCATTGCCGGTAGACATATTTGTTTGTTCTATGGTTTTAAATAAAATTTAGTCTGTGCCACTCGTCAATGCGAATACGTTGTTTTATTTTAGTCTAAGGTTCATTTAAGATATTAGAGAGATACGATAAAGTCTATAAATTGCAACTTCCGTATAGAGAATTAGTTGTTTCAATAGATAGGTAAAAACATACGTATATTTTACAAGAAAGTGTACCTTCCGCAGAAGAAAATATTATTAAATAATTTATTAAGGAATCTAAAGGTGGCAGGGTTATTAAACCCCCTGTCAATATGACTCTCTTAATTACATATTATTATACATTATACAAAACAATTAGCAAGTAATTATAGACCAATCGCACTTTTAAGCACACTATCTAAAATTCTGGAAAAAATAGTTAACATTAGACTTACGAAATTTCTTGACCAAAAAAATCTCATCTCGTCCAATCAGTATGGCTTTAGGAAGAACAAATCTACAGATGCTGTTTTAAAACTAACTACACTAGTGGCCAATTATTTAGATAATAATAATCACTGTGTTGGGGTCTTTTTGGACCTACGAAAGGCTTTTGATACTGTGTCACCGAGGATACTTCTGAAGCGAATGGAGCGAATGGGTATACATTGGATTCCCTATGATTGGTTTAAAGATTACTTAAGTAATCGAAGCCAGCAGATTAAAGTTGGCACACACATTAGTGACGAAACTAACTGCGATTACGGAGTTCCACAAGGAAACACTCTTGGACCAACACTTTTCCTGTTGTACGTTAATGATCTCTGCAACATAGAATTGGAAGGAGCTGATTTATTAATGTACGCAGATGATACTGTCCTGCTTTTTCATCATCAGACTTGGGATGGTGTGCAAACTCTTACAGAAAGAGGACTGTGTGAGGTTTCGAAGGCTCTGGAAAATAGTTTGCTATCGTTAAACGTAGAAAAGACGAAATATTTATGTTTCAGGATAACAGAGGCTACTAATCCCTCTAGTAGTTTTAAAGTCAAGATGCACACTTTCCCATGCAATACCATACCCTTACTTCCTGGCAGAAAGTGTGATTGTAAAGAGCTAGAAATGGTTAAACACGTGCAATATCTAGGAGTGACAATTGACGATAAATTAACTTGGAACCGTCATATTTCAAATGTCACGAGTAGAGTAAGAAAGCTCATTTATATTTTTAAAAACCTAAGAGAAATTGCAGATAGCGACCTTCTTCTATATTTGTACAGGGCTCTTTGCCAATCTGTCATAACATATTGTATTGCAGTGTAGGGAGGAGCAGCGAAATCTCATATGATGGGACTGGAAAGGGCTCAAAGAGCCATTCTAAAAGTTCTATGTCTTCTACCTTTTAAATATCCCTCACACGCATTGTATCAACACTGTAGGGTTCCAACTGTGAGACAGTTATACTACAAATCTATAGTTCTCAGGTACCATAGGGAAGTCGTACCGTCTTTACCAACGTCTCAGCGAAGGAGAGAGACATGTCCCACAGTACGGACTCGTACGGAGTTTGCCAAGCGCCAATATTACGCGATAACCTCTCGGGTGTATAATAAATTAGGTGATATTCAACAATTACGAAAATTTAATACCTATAAATTAAAGAAATATATAGATATACACACACATTCACACACACACACACACACACACACACACACACACACACACACACACACACACACACACACAGGCTTTCCTAGCACAGGAGTCAAAGATCACTGTTTACACATTTCGTATTCTGTACCAAAGGTAATCAAATTGTAAAATTGTGATTTGTGTAACTTTTCTTTATGTGTGTGTCAATAAATTATTATTATTATTATGTTATAAATCATATTTTAACTAAATCAAGGTAATAAATAGTTTATACAAATGTAATTGAAATATTAAACAAACTTGAATGGCAGATTATAATATTATTGAAATGTAACTAGTGGAGTCGCGTGAAATAAGTAGTGGATGCGCCAGATGTCACTTCCTGCTATTATCTTAAATACTCTGTTTCACCTTGGGAGTTGCAGTTCATGACCTTGTGGGCAAACCCTGTCGACACAGTCGCGTCACAATTGTCGATGCACGCAGATACGAGTCGCATTCCGTTTTTCGACGCAGGCAGTCGCGTCCGAACTAGTGCTGGTTAATATATCATATAGCAAAATAAAGCACCGTGCTTTTCATACATAACAAATAGCAAATGCTATCGTGGCTCTCACTTCTTGCTATTTGCTTAATGCTTTTTTACATCGCACTCTCTGTCTCTGTCAGTCGCGCATCACAAAATTGCAAAGCATGAAAGAAAGCAATAGCATCGCGGCGGCCAGTCGTCGCATGCTAGAGATTGCTTTCGGTCGCGTAAGTGAGCAAGTAATCGTTTTACGCACCGCTTGCGATTTTGCTAATCCGCGATCTCGGGCGGCTCACGTAATATAATATACGTAAATATTATTTTACTTCGTGCTTTTTAGTGGAAATAAACAGTGATAGGACACCTTAATATTTATTAGCTATAATTGTGCAAATAAGGACAGAGTGAGATATCGTGTTGTTGTTTTGAGTGTAGGTATAATAACAGACGAAAATGTCTAGAAGGAACAGTGATTTGCCAATATGGAACTTTTTTGAAAAGCCCATTGATGGCCGTAAAACTGCTACATGGAATTACTGTCGTCGAGAGTTGTCGTTTAAAACGAGTGTTACAAATTTAAAACAACATTTAAAACAAAAACACATTTCGGTGTACAATAATTTAATTAATTTTGGCAAAACCCTCGAGGCAGCAGCACCTGAAACAGTGAGTAATATTCCTTGTCTGAAGTCTAAGGTTTGCATGTGGAAAATGTTGGTGATGGGAATAGGAAGAGAAACGCTGCATGCAGTGGTGGTGGAGAGATGGGGAGGCGTATTAATTGTGATGAACCTCCTAAAACAATTCAGAGAACTATGCAAGCGTATATTCCAAAAAAGCTCAAACCAGACGAAAATAACAAAATAGATTTAAACCTTTTAAAAATGATCGTATACGATTTTCAGCCCTTTTCAATAGTAAATGACGTAGGTTTTCGTGCGTACACGCATGCACTGAATCCGAATTATGAAATACCGGACCGAAAAACTTTATCAGTGAATCTTCTGCCAAAAGTTTATGAGAAGAGGCTAGAAGAACTCAAACTATTAGTCTAGATGAATGCAAAATCAGTGTGCATTACCATTGATTATTGGACTCCCGCATGGTTAGTTGTATGGCTATAACAGCGCCCTTTATGACGGAAGACCCCATAGAATTAAAATCGGTACTAATTCAATTTGGCGAATCAGAAGGGCACCATACAAGCATAAAAGTATATAGGGAACTGAAAAGTTTATTAGAAAACTGGGGCATTTACGACAAAGTCAACTTGTTTGTCACTGATAATGCCTCCAACATGGAGAGTGCCGCAAGATATTTTGAACTTGATGGCTGGGTTCATTTTGGATGTTATGCCCATAAACTTAACCTCGTCGTTCAAGATGCACTTGCCGAAATAAAAGACACAATAGAGAAAGTGCAAAGAGTTGTAAACCACTTCAGAAAAAGCACTATATCAAAAGAAAAATTATTAAAATACCAATCAAACCAACAGAACATAAACCAACCGAAATCTGTAATAAAATCGGTTCCAACACGATGGAACTCTGTGTACCTAATGCTGGAAAGGTTCATTGAGATAGTAGAAGCGTTACGTGCCACCATTCCTAGTTTAGGAACCGATCTTCCAATAATACCAATGGAAGAGTGGAAATGTATTGAACAAATTTGTGTCATACTGAAACCATTTTACGAAGTCACTGTCGAAATGAGTGCTGAAAATTATTTTGTCGCCAGTAAGGCGATTATTTTCACTTCAAGCCTCATAAACATATGCGCCAATTACACCATGTTGCAAGAATTATACCCACCTGTAAAAAAACTTGCCAAAAAGTTAAAAGAGGGTATGACAAAACGATTGGGAAGTTTAGAAAAAAATGATACAATAAGTTTGAGCACAGTTTTGGACCCTAGACTTAATTAAAAGCCATAAAAGACACAGCACGTATTGAAGACCTTAAAAATATATTGAAAATGAAAATTACAAACGAAATAAATAAAAAAACCAGCAATCAACCAATTCAGAACAAGTTCAACCTGTACCATCGACATCAGCTGTAAATTCTGTTCCGTCCCAAATTTTCGGATGCGACATGCCAACATACAGTTTGTGGTGTGAATTTGACAGCGAAGCCAACAAAGAGTTCCAACCTAAACCCTCAGATGTCCAGGCTTCCGAAGAGTTGGAAAAATATTTAGCGGACAATTGAATTAAGAGAACAGAATGTCCCTTTAAATACTGGCGAGAGCATAAATTCATTTACCCCGAATTGTAAACCTTATTTATAAAACATTGCAATATCATGGTGACTTCGGTTTCTTGCGAACGTATATTTTCCAAGTCGGGGTATCTTATTAGTGATCGAAGAACACGATTGTCTACTACAAGAGTAGCACAGATAATGTTTCTTCATATAAATAAAATGTAAATAAAAACTTAAAATAAATAGTGTAAATAAAAACTTAAAGTAAATAGTGTAAATAAAAACTTAAAGTAAATAGTGTAAATAAAAAAGGAAAAAATTAAAAATATGTACATATATGTATATACTTGATTTTTGTAAATACAATCAATGAACTTTTAAGTACGCCTATAATTGCTTTCATAACACTTAATTAATTATAGACAGTCCTAAGCCTGAAAAGTATGAAGGCAAGTGCATTGTTTTTTTACTGTACCGTATCGTAATAAACAGGGCATAGAATCTTAGTACATTAATGCTTGAAAAACGCAATTATTATTATACTAAATTTAGATGAACCAAAAGAACATATAAAGTCTATCAAACGTATAGTTTTTAGATTTTGTCGTATTATAATGTACTAGATCCATCTGTTGGCACAAGATGTCGCCTCTGTTGATGTAAGAAGATAAAATTAAAACGCTAGGTGGTTATGACATTCAACAACCTATTTGACAACATTTTTAAAATGGTCGCATTGAGTTGAGTGCAAATTCCTCCAATCTGACATACAGACATAATTAAAATTATTGCGTTTATGAGAGTTTGAGACAAAGATTCTTATATTTTGAGTGTTGTTTTAGAGACAGGGACTCTTCATCTCCTCAATATTTCTAGTAAAAAGTATTGTGTTCACGGCGGCATGGACTCTGGAAGTAAGTATATTCCGTAATTTGATAAGATTTAAACTAAACATATTATCAAAAATCTCTTGCATCTGCTCTAAGATGTTTTTAAAAGTTGTTTTTTTTTTTTTGTTGTTTTTAAAAGTAGTCTGCTATGCCTGGTATGGACGGCTGTAGGCTGATATCCATATTAATATATTATTATATGTAATAAATGTAAGATTGTGATTTTGAAGTTAGGCGGACTTCCACTGGAGTGATGACCTGGTATATGATGTAGGTGGCTAAAGACCGTGCTTTGTGATTTTTATTGAAGAGGCAAGAGGCCTATGTTTGGTCTGTAACGATGATGATGATGATGATTGTTTGTTTTATTTAATGTTATAGTCCATGCTGAAAAAATTCGTCACCATAATAATAGTGTACTGTAAAATATCAGTTTATTAATAAATGATTTGTATTTGACACAATTGATTGTACTTGTATTAGAATAATAATAATAAAAATATTTCTATTCTTTTAATCAGTCCAGTGTAAGTCTTATGTACTCATGACTAAATTAAATTATGTATTTAGTCTTAAAAATTGTATGTTAATAAAAAAAGAGAGCCCATCACCTCATTTTGTCCCATGGGTGTTATGTTATTACAGATATATCAAATAATCTCATGAGTTCTGTTTAGTCGGCGGTATAACCATCTCGTTTACGCCAGACATAAAATCCAAATTGACGATGGACAAGCTGTGTCAAAGGTGTTCACGTCTAGATCTATGATTGTCAAGCCACCTGCCAAGCATGACAGGCTCAAGTCCAGCAGTAAACTTTAATAGGCCAATAAAGAAGAAAAAAGTCACAAAAAACTTGCTGTGCTCTGATAATACAAGTGTTTATTAATGGATTAATTAGCTTTTTGTTTTTCAGAAAAAGGCATTCTTCCAAGAGAATATGCAGAAACTGCCGAAATTCTCCTCTTTTTTGACAAGGTATTCGATTCTGTTAATGGCAGCTACAATAAAGAAAAAACTATATGTAAAGCCTCTTCTTGGACCAGCAAAGCCAAACTCAGAACACAATAACATGAAATTTATAAATAAAATGTCTAATAATCATGAGAGATGGACACTACTTGGTGTATAAATTCTTTTGAAAAATTCGAAACTAAGTATGGTATTACTTCTGTTTGGATGCGGCACCTCAACCAAGACCCTATTGAAAACTTTTTTGGAACCATTAGAAGCTATGAGTGCCGCAATGTTAATCCAACACCAGTACATTTTCAGAGTGCCTACACTACACTTTTAATTAACAATATGTCCAGTGTCCATGCCTCAGGAGCTAATTGTGAAAAAGATAATTGTACGGCTTTAGAATCTGTTATCATCACAGATAACTGCAAAGCTGCTGCAACCTGTGTCCTTGAAACAATCCTGGATGTATATATAATTGATATTAAAGAGAACACTGCTCCATATATAAAGGGGGCATTAGATTATGTTAGTGGATACTTTGCTAGATGTGCTAAAAAATGTTTTTAAAAATTGTAGTGAATGTACTGCTAAAATATTCACCTTACAAGAAAATGAAATCATTAACTTTTGGGAATATGCAGGTAAACGTGGCTTTGCAGTCCCACTGAGTCTCTTATAGTGTGTGTATCTGCAGTGAAAGGCAACAAATTCAGTATTAAAAATATTTAGGTAGAGACAATGTTGAAGAATTAATAAAAATCTTGATACTAATGCATGTAGATTTTGATGTTTTGCTATGTAAAATAAAATAGTCTTGCCGCTTTTTCATATTCAATTATGTGTTGTATGTGTCACAATAATGAAGATGTGTTTCAAATGAAAACCAAAAAATATTTCCACAAATGTATAAAAGACGTTTTATTCAATAAATCACTTAACTTTCTGAAATGAATTTTTATTTTTACCTCAAAACCTATACTTATTGTAAGAAAAATTTCTTACATTAAGTAAAAAGAAAAAACATAAGGAAACAATAATTTAGTATAGTATAAAATACTATATAGTAGCTATATATACTACGTGTATAGTATAGCTATATGATAAATATAAATTGTTCCATCCGACACCACCAGACGGCAGCACATTCGTGAATTCATTTTTGGGCTTGAGATTCGTCTCTATTTCAGTATATATAAAAGTACTCTGTGGTAATAAATTCATAAACGCGATGCACCGCGGTTGCTACCTAAAGTCGCTCCCGCCCGTTTGGCGCCCGTAAAAGTAGGTACCTACTACCTACCTACGCACGGTCGCACGTACGCAGTCGCAGACGTCGCAGTACGCTTATAAAAAGCATGCTTATAATAAAGCATATAAAATAGCTTGCTTAAAATATAAAGCATATAGCAACTTTGAACACTACTAGTCCGAACCGTCGGCTCAAGCGCGCGCGCCATTTTTGTCGCGCAACGCACCGTATAGTAAAGCGTTCGTCGCCGCCTACTCGCTGAAGAAGCACGTGTCGCACCAACGTGTCGCAAAACTGTCGGCAGCAAGACTGTGTGTTACCGCAAGAACTATTCGTATTATTCAGCCATTCGTGCTGAAGATAACCGCATCGCAGCTGTTGAAGTAAGGAGTTCGCCGCGCTGCCCCGCGTCCGAAGATCGCAGGTGAGCTTATTTGGTCTCATGAACATGCAACTACCCACTGGTACTTCAAATGTATCTACTTAACTAGAGCCAGTCTCTACTTGGGGGCCTGAGTTATCGTAGGAAATTGTTTAAAGCCCCCACCGCGTGGTCGCCTCGTGGCTCACACCTCCCGCATAGATTAGGGTTTTCCTGGTCAACCCTGCATACCATTTCTGGTATTTTTCTCGATTTGCAGATCCTTACAAAATTTGTGGTTCGAATCCCGCAATTAAGCTAATTAAATAAATTAGCAAGCAGCCCATTAGAGGTGACCCCACCAAGTAGTATGTATAAAACATTAGTATAAGCTACAATATTGTCACATCGCAATTGGTTATCAGGCCAATTAAGGACGCACGTTGAGTTGACAAGAATAAAAACTCGTTAATTAAGTTTTGTTTTAGTACACAATAGATCATAATTTACTTAGTTATCGTAACGTAAACGTAGAACCTGTGAATTAATTACTGTTCATAATGGGTAAAACATACAGCACTGAGAAAAGAAATAAAGAAGTCATTATCGCTCAAAATGACGCGATTGATGCTACACATTCGCATTTCGAGCAACAAAAGGAAAAATAATATAGAACTTCGATATCTATCGTGGTCATAGTAATCATAATGGCAATCGTCTATATAATACACAAGGAGTGCCTACAGCGTGTACGAAAAGTAGTCAGACAAAAAGTAGCTGCAGGACGCAGTGACAATTATCCTCAGCACCAATAGCAGGCGCTACCGCATCAAATGGTATAGTGAGTGAAAAGTCTCGTAAAAAGTTCATCAGTGATGTGTAGTGTAAGTGATTGTGAAATTAGCATATTAAATTATAAGTATATAGTTAAAAATGGTAGTAAGTAAAGTAAACAGTAGAATCAATATTGTTTTTACATCCATTTATTATTCTTAATGTATAAAAATATGTAATACAAAAGACATAATCGGAATATCTGATACTGTATTTTAAAAATTAAAGCACTAACTAAATATTTCTATGTTATAAAAATTTAGCTTTTAAGAAATAAGAAATAAAAACAGATAATTATGTAATCCACGTAAAATTTAAAGTATAATGTCAAAAAATAAGTTTATAAATTGTAACGGTCAAAAATTTTTCACTGTCAAAAGCTACGTATATTTATATTATTTTATTTTGTTATTTGGAGGCCAA